TAATTGCTTTATATTAATACATAGATGGGATGGAGAACTAAAGTTTTATTCCAGTCTGGCCATTGGCCTGTGCCAGAAACCATTTTATCTCACAGATTATGACCTAAAGGGCAAGAGAGGTATTGGGGCGGGGGGGCGGGAACCAGCCTTTAATGAGTTCACCATTCTTAGACCAAAACTGAGAATAAGCAAAATGTACATCTGTGACTCTTTTCAAAAAAGCAAAGGGGTAAATGTGTGTGCTCACGGCAGCCTGCCATCCGGACTCGGGAAATAAGACCTGCGCAGGTGATGGTGGCCACCGAACAGGGCTCCTGTCCCTGCCAGACAGGGACGCACAAAGTCCTGATGCCGTCATACTTATCCCTTTTTAACACTAAGAAATTACTTTCATTAATAAAAAAAATAAAGTTCCCTCCACCAGGCAAATAATTTTGATTAAAAATACACATTTTTTTCTTAAATTTATCACAAGGTTCACTTTTCCTTCTATACAACATAGAGAACCTATGTTATAACTCTGATTTTACACTCTCACTCTCCTCCCAGACAAGTCATAAGCCTGGAGGAGCCTCTGAGCATGTCCATCATCTTTACTGCCCGACTGCTTTTCCACTAAGGCGGGGTGGAGGTACATCCCTAGATCACTCTAATAACAAGTCATAAGTGAAAATGTGCCCTCTCTTGGTCAGAAGAAGGTCACTTGACAGTGTTTACTTCATCAGTCTGAATGTCACAGAAGACCAGAAAAAGTACATGCGCACACACACAAAACCCCAAACCATTAAAAACTACTTAAAACACTGATTTGTCAGGCAGAGCACAGATGAAATCTCTCTAGCAGAGAAAGAGTAAAAAGGTAAACGTGGGCCTTTTGAACCTGGAAGTCCATTTAGCCAGGCTTCAGTTAAGATAAATGGAATATAAAAATCATGCTAGCCTAGATGAAAACTGCATGGCTGTTTAAAAACCACTGAATGGGAGGACTATGTCAGAAAGAAACAGATTGAAAACAATTAGACAATCATTGACCTACATCTATTTTTCTAATAAATTTCTATCAATCACATAATTGCCTCAGTCTAAAAATCGAATATACCTGGACCATCACTACTACCAGAAAAAGTCTTATTTATTTTTTGCCTGCATTTGTGCTTCAAGTTTTGTGATGGGGCTGGGCTTCCTCAATGAACTCCAAGAAGGCAGAAATGTTTGCTTTGGATTCTGTGGATTCTTTAAACCTGTGTGCTAATTCAACAATTTACATGAATTGTGTAAGAGTTTTTGTATACTTATCAAACATCTGTGGTGTAATGATCTTTGTTAAGCATGTATTCTGTAAAGTGCCATAATCCTTTAATGTGTGTAGCATATTTAAAATATATATATATATATATATATTATACATACACGAGTCTGTGTGAGAGATGTGCAATAACAAAAAAGGTGTATGTATGTTCTGTTTTGGGGGGAACTGGACAGGAATCAGAACAGAGACTGTTTCTGTTTTGGCAAGGGAGAGTTAAAACATTTTGCCTTCATGGCCTAGTCATTAGCCCAGAACAATTCTAATGCTACACAGACCTATGTGAAGAAAAGACTGGTATGGAATCATCTTTCCCTGGGTCTAAATTAAAATAATCACTAGATTTATGTGAAAAGTCACGCCAGCAAGCCAGGCCCAGTTAATGCTAGTCTTTCATGTGAAATGTGAAGCTGCCATGCTGCCTCTTCTGCTGGCGTGATAACTCTAGCTGGCACACGACCACTACGGAGTTCTTCCTTAACCTGCTTTGGCAGACCACGTTAACGCCAGACACTACTTATGGGCCAGCCTCACACCTTCTCAGCCATGAGGGTCTGCTTAGAACAGACCTCCCTGTGCAATAACACATGGCCCCTGGAAATCCCAGGCCTGCATTTGCACCGGGGCAGCACAAGAAAGGCACGACTGGGATTTCTTCTGAGACTGTGGTGAAACGCCTTCCAAGGTTGGGGGGTCATGAGGTGCTCTGGAGGAACTTGGCACCACTTGATATTATTCAACAACCACTTGAGCCAAATGTAAAACTGTATTACCACTGACGGACTCAATCAGAGCCTTCGAATTTCTGGTCATCCTATTGTAAACTAATACATTATTTGTCTAGCATTGATTAGGTTCCTGTGCATATGTATTTTCACCACATGTTCCCTACCCTCCCCAGATATGAATTAAACCAGATTTTGCAAACTTATTCTGATTCTTTCAAGTCTCATTATTTCAATATGATGTGTATAATCTGATCAAGAGAATACCTACCAAATTTCTAACATTAAATATGTAATACTGGTGATAAGATATTCAAGTGTTTTAACTCTGCCATTCACTAATAAAATATATACACCTACCTGAGGTTAGCTTTAACTTGAAGTATATATTTCTTCCCCTGAGAAGCACTGATGTAATTATAAACAGGAAAAAATAAAAACCCTCTCATATGCTATACAGTTATCTAAATTTTGAAGGAATATGGAAATACTTCAAAGTATTATGAATATAATGTAAAGAAATGTGTACAACAAGGGAAAAGTCAACTGAAGGACACGTTCTCCTCTTCCAACAAGAATACCACAATTAAAAGCCAATCATGGAGCAATACACATTCACATTTCCTGAAGGTAATCCTGCCCATAAAAAGCTTCATCTAGAAACAGAACTCCACTTTGTAAACTCAAGACACGAACAATCCTTTTCATAAACTCTTATTCAACGCTCCATATCACGTGAAGAACTTAGAACATACAAAAATAGCTTTATTTTCTTGATCTAGGGCCTGTGACAGCTGACACTACTGTATGCTTTGGCTTCTAAGCATTTGAGACATTTTAACATTCCTGACATGTGCCAGATTTCTAATAGGAATCAACATTAAAAGCTGACAAAATTACCCAAATCAATAAAGGCAAGTTTTTTCCAAACAAATTACAACCTAAATAATCCAAGTGAAACGACATTTTCAGTTGCTTTCTCAGCTGTTATTACATCGTTCTCAAAAGTTAATCCACAAGAGAAAGGACCCTGACTTTAAATTTCAGCACAGGCTGGGCAACCCACACCTGTGCTTCACATTTCACACTGAGTTTTTACTTAGCAATTTTGCTACCAGTTTGATCTTCCATGGCTTGATCTTCCCGGAACACACTGCTTCCCGGAACACACTGCATTCAACTCACTCCTAGCTCCCCTTAGAAATCTCTGCTTAACATAGTAACAGTCTTGACACCTCTCCCGGACATTTCCTTTAAGGGAGTTATTTCAGTAGTTTCCAATCATTCAGTACCTTTCTTTTACTCCCAAACACTAAAGGGTAAAAGCCTCAGCAGATTTCTAGCCTCCTCTCTAAAGCAGCCAGTAACTGTCTTCATTTCAGGGCCCCATTGGTTGCCTAGTCACACTGTTGTGGCCATCTGTGGATGCCCCTGCCATCTTCTTCACTGCAGCTTCCTCCTCACCCTGGAGAGTTCTCCAAGATAAGTCTTTAAGACACGACCTGCTCGCTTTGCTTAGATACACAGGATGTAAATAAAAGCATAAATGAATAAGAGGAAATAGTAAAACCACATGGAAAAGAAAAATCAAATAACTTGTAGCTCTTAGTAGCTCTTTGACTTTATATAGTCAAATATCCTGAAAAATCTAGTATCTGTACAAGCAGTCCACCAAGGCCATATGTTTGGGAGAAACCACTAAACTATCCTTAAGACAAGGAGGCCCGAATGAAGGCAGGAGATAGTGAAGACAATGAGACGAAGAGATGTTAGGGAGAAAGAAGGGACAGCTTGGGGACTGATTAGAAGCAGTCTGGGGAGTAGGGGAGGGAGTCTAAGATGCTTTGGGCACTGGTCAGAAAGCGGTGCCTTCACCTAGATCAGGAACCCAGCAGGGACTGAGACAGTGAAGGCATGAAGGTTCAGCCCAGGCTGCCAACATGCAGTCCCATGTGCAGCTAGAAATACACAGTGGAGAGACCAGCTGGGTGACAGAGACTTGGGAATCTTCAACATGGACAGCAGTAAGAATTTTTAACCTTTATACATGTTTCATGGGCAGGCACTATGCTAAGCACTCCTTTTTAATTCACTTATTCATCAAAACCCTATGAGTAGAAACTAATATCCTAATTTTATAGATGTATTAACTGTCACCCAAATAACTTAACTGAGGTTAAGTAGTTTATCCCACATGAAAAAGCTGGTAAGTGGCAAAGCCAAAGTTCAAATACAGGTTTGACACCAAAGACGACATTCTCCAACAGCTGTAGTTTCTTTCTACCCATAACAGAGTGAGAAAACAAATACAAACCCCAAGGAGACACCAACATCTGCATACTAAACTCTCAGAATAACTTCCAAATTTAACTCCAAAAAAGCCACGCCATAAGATGATAACTGATGAAAACACTGCTCCCTTTCAAAGAAAAACCTGGTAATTTTTCATACTTTCCAAGATGACAACATATATCTCAATTTGCTTAATCCTGAGAACAGCATTAAAAATTCACCAAGTATATGACAGTGATAAAAAATGATAGTTTTATTATAAACAATCTCTGAACAACAGGGTTCTACTGTATATAGCACAGGGAACTATATTCAATATCCTGGGATAAACCATATGGAAAAGGAGTATTTTTTAAAATGTATATATTTGTATAACTGAGTCACTTTGCTGCATAGCATAAACACGAAATTGTACTTCTCAACTATACTTCCATAAAAAAAATTATAAATAATCTCTCATCTAGAATAAGCAGCCATTATGATTACATAAGGGGCCTATTTTCTTCATAGCTAATATGACAAATAAGGATTTGCTTTCAACCTAGGTTTCTCCAAACACACACACACACACACATACACAAATACCAAAGACCATTGAGGAAGTCAGCACTGCTGTGAAGAGCAGGCAGCAGGTACTTACCCACATGTTGTGGAGGTAGGCCTTGGTCTGGAGATTTTCAAAAATACACGCTGTACTTTTTTTCTTGATTACTGAATTGTTTTCTAGAGTCCATTGTCCCTAAAGGATGGATATGAATTACTGGAAATGTGGAAAATGGAAAAGAGAAAACTGGAAAAAGGTGGCACTGGGTTATGGAAGCAACCCCACACTTGGCAAGAGTCAGGGGACCTGCGCCTGGCTGCCTCTCCCCTGCCCACCACCACCACTCACTGAGTGACTGGGATAATTTCCTATTCCTCTATAAAACAGGGCCCAGAAACAGAAATTCCAGCATAGGCTTGGTGTGAGGGTTAAGACCGACTTAGGTGAAGCATTTAGTATAGTTTCTGATATATACAAAGTCCCCAATGGTATGTTATTTTTAGAAAAAAGTTGAAAGAATCTTCTGTCCAGACTAATATCATTTAGAGTCGATCTTAAAAATGAAGTGTTGTCCTAAAAATTGTGAAGAATAAACATGACCCAATCTAGTTTTTACCTAGAGAGACTCAATGGCTTGGCTACCTTGGCCAGCAAATTTTTTCCATCCTGTACTAGTCATCTTTAGCTTAGGGCTTTCAGCAAGTGGAAGATTCCTCTGTAGATACAAGATACATGGTCACTCCTATTTATAAACAAGGAGTATCAGCTGAGCCCATCATCTGTGGGAAACCACAATGCTCAGAAAACCTTCCAATTATTTGTTAAACCCTATTGCTGGAAAAGCCTTCTTAGAAAAGGAACATCCAATCACGGCACAGTGTAAATGAAGATGGAGATGGAGGCATAAATTGATACAATTTTCTGGAGAGCAATTTGGCAATGCACATCAAAGATCATAAAAATCTATACTTACGCTTTGACCAAGCATATTGTCCTAAGGCAAGAACACAAGCTTGGGTCCCCAATTTAGCAATAATATATTCCTTGGTAAGTTATTTATAATTTAAAAAAATTGAAATTCAGAACCTAAGAGAGTAACAGGATTTGAAAAATAACATGTGACACATGCACATAAAGGTATCTATACAGCCACTGTTACAGAATTAATTCATCATATGAAAAATTCAACATATTTATATCAGAATTGGAAAAAAGATTACAAACCACTGTGTAAGTTAAAATTCTCTAGTAGAAAAGTCATAGGAAATCGACTCAAGATAGCTCAGGGAGAAAAGGATAAGAGTTATTACTTGGAGAATGTAATACCCAGCCAGCAGAATAGGGGTGCGCAGTCAGGCCTCTCAGAGGAAACAAAGCTGGGAAGACCTTGGCTGTGTCCCTTACCCTACCTCTTTTGCATGTCTGCTTTATTCTCCACTTCCATCACACGTCAGTTTTCTAGTAACTCTTTCGAACTCTTGGCAGAATATGGTTATCCACATGGCCCAACTCTGAAACAGTATAATTCTAGACAAATCTACTTTCAGAGTAAAAATTTAATGAGCCATGTATGAGTCCACTATGGCCAGGTGACATCCAGTGCCAGTGTGGTCTTCAGGGGTCCAAAGAAACGGGGTTTGTCAGAGCTAGACAGACATCCTTAAAGGACCAATTACAAGGCTGTAGAGGGAAATCTTATTCCTTAATATTAGAGAGAAAAGTGGTCTTCCCAGAAAATTAACGGAAAGAAATGAACCAAATTTTAACAGTAGCTATCTGTGGGTATAAAATTATGAGCCAGTGTAACTCCTTTTGCTGTAAATATTTTTTTAAATTTATATGAAATGTAATCTTAATTTCATAAATAAGTTAATTTTAAAAGCTTAACTAGCAGGTCATTATGACATAATACCAAGTGAGGGAAAAACAGAACAAAAATTCCCATTATTTATACCCCTTAACTGTATAAAATATGTATGTATACAAAAAGAATGGAAAAAATACAACAAATATTAACAGTGGTATCTCTAGAAGATAAAAACTACATATAGTTTTCTCACTTATTTTCCATATTTTTCAGCAGTCTGCAGCAGACACCTATGTCCCTCATACTAGAAAGCATCAGCTGGAGGGAGGCGTGTGCCCAGTGGGCTGTTTCTGTGCAGGAGACAATAGTGTTGCAGGAGCTTCTGTAACCACCAGGAAAAACACAGTTATTCAGGGCAGCTTCTCCCTAGCTCTCAGACACCTGAATAACATTATAAACTCTCATGGTAATAACATCTCAGGACCATGATTTATCTTGAGAATTACTGGCCCACAAAATTTTTAAAGAGTTCTGCAGGAATTCTAAGATTAAAGCTAAGTACTATAAAACAAAGAGTTAAATAAAATGTGCATGCTATGGTTCTACAAATTCAACTGTTTAAATGTACAGAAGGTAACAGTCAACATATGAAACACTATAAGGCAGAAGAGGATTAATGACTTTCTCTCTCCAGTAAAGATAAAATGGGTTTCCGTGGCAGAAGAATTTTAACTACACCATCAGCCATGCCAACTCCAGAAAGTTATGAGCTGAAAAATAAATCAAGATTTGGATAATCTTAAAATTTAACACTCACTGCACTGTTACAGGCTAGCTCCTATGTCCCTTGCCATTTGAAAACATAAACAGTGCTGATGAAAATTCTCTAAGTTGAAGGCTTTGTCTTATCAAAACCACAGTTAAACTGTAAATATGAAGCCCACAAGAAGGGTAAGAACACGAGAGGGGAGCTTTCCCTATTTTGCTTCTAATCAAGGATATCTATTGTATTTATCTAGGACAGATTAGTGGCAACATCTGGCTGGCTTAGAAATTTTCTACAGATTCCTTTCTATCTTTCTATAGACTGTGATAAATCTTAAAATTTAAAAATACCCATCCTTACAAAAAGCATGCTGTTGTATAAAATGTACCCTAAAATTCTAGTAGAAATACTTCACTTTCCATAATATTTAACCACTGAGTTACAACCTTTTAGTTTAATAAACAAGAATTAGAAACAATTCTAGTGTTTTAAAACATACAATTCTACTCTAAATAAACTTATACTATGGTACTTGAAAAATCTATCAAAGTACAGATTTTTAAACATCCTCAATTATTTTTACATTAACCGCTTTTATTTCACCTCTAAAGTTCTTAATCACAAGGAATCAGTAAATTCCTTTAAACATTTAGCTTAAGGAAAAAATGGAAGAAGATACAGTGAAATAGTGAGTGACAGCACAGTAATTCTAATAAGGGAAAACTGCACAAAAAATGTAACAGATTCTGTATGTAAACAGTTAGTGTAGATTTTTACCAATAAAAATGCAAAATTAGGTGCTAATGCCAGTGTTTTCAGAAAAAGATAAAGCAATAACTATAAAAAGCATTATCTACTACAAATGATTTACAGAAACTAAAACATAATTAAACATAACTCCCTCTAAAATGCAAACCATACATTATATCAACATGATTTACAAAAGGCCTATATCCAATGAAAATCCAAAGTCACTTTTAGGTGACACCCAGAAAATGGAAAATGCTGTTCCTATTTTAATGTAACATGAATTTCTCAAATAAGATTCACCATGAGCACTTTTTTAGACTATGTTTTTTATATCTTCTTTAGATAACCAAATGAAAAATCTAACAATACACAAATTGGTACTTTCATCAGTACATAAAACAACAACAGGTAGTGAGGTTAGGAAACAGAAAACAAGTTCAATCCAATCAATACAATACTAGTACAGAGGCATCCATGGTAACCCAAAAGGAAAGGTCTGGACCACAAAACAGGTTTTCTGTTTTGAATCTAGCTTCTAGTCTGTGTATTTTGACCTTAAAGTGGTCAAACTATTTAACTAGTGAATCTCATGTTCCACTACCTACAAAAGTCTAAAGCAACAGAAAAACTGTCATGTCGTTTTTAAAAATCAAATGTGGTATTTCTATATACATTGAGCTCTCTGTATAATTACTGCCTCTGAGGTGCTAACACAGTATTTAAAATTACACAAACAAACATCCAGTAAACAGCATTTTATTTTATGACACTCTGTGTTAATACAATAAATATACAAAACTTCCAAACCACTGAAAACATGCAACATTAGAGTGACAGATGGAGGGCATTTATATAGAACCATGACAATCACCGTAATGGCAGCGCAATATTACTCGTTGACAAAATATACAAACATCCTTAGATAAATAATCCAAGTTCCAAATTAAAAACCACTGAGCAATGATTTTCCAGTGTTCAAACTTTGTTTGAAATAAAATAGCCAAAACAATACTACAAACTGAAAACTGACGTGGCTCCTTACAATGTGAAGACCATTTCATGATTGTGATACTGGGTAATGCTAATATTAAATATAAAACACTAACAAATGCCAATCTTTTACTGAGTGCAAATGTGACTATTTACTAATAATTGTTAAGAGAATAGAGATTGTAAGAATTAAAAACCCCTCTACTTTATCAAACTGTTAAGCAATGCCATCATTTTAATGCACATTTATGTTTTTAAAAAACATTTTTCTCTTTATTAAGCTTGTATTAACCCAAATAACTGGAATTTAAAACAACACTTCCGCCATCCAAACAAAAAAAGGTACTGTTGGTTGTAATTATTCTTTGCTACTTAGCAATAGAGGATTTCTACAGAACAGAGAGAAGCATTCATAATTCTTGAAGAAAAGTACTGATATCTCAGTATTCTTCAAAAGTCTCTATGATAAAGTTTTCATCTGTAGTTTAAGGAGAAACAAAAGGAACTTGAAAGATAATGACAGACATAAGTGCTTTTGTTGTATTTTGTGGTTAATGTTCTGAATATATGTAAAATCCACACTCAACAAAGCATACTGATGAAACATTTTTCAGTAAGATTATAGGCTCTGAAAAACTTGAACGGGCTTATTTGGTTGAGAAAGTAGGTAGAGATTATCACTGATCAGAAATATTCATAAAAACAGCTTTAAATTCATACTCTGAATCCTATTTTCATCAGAATAAAAGAAATATCTTCCAAGTATATTACTTCAACAAAGTCCCAAATAAATCAAACGTAAACACCACCTGGATGAATCTGAGTTATATCTAGCATCACACAAAGCTTCTTCATAAATAGGAGAATTTACCATCCTACCCCTAGGATGAAACTCATTTTAACTCCAAATTTGGGGGGAAGAATAAAAATGATTTAACCATCTACACCCAGCTGATTTTTAAGTATCAAATAATATAATCCAACAGACTACCCTTCCTTTAAATCAAATTGAATAAAACATACTCATTATTCTGCAATCTGAGGTTTGCTAATGACTTCCAAAACAACAGTATCATGACTTTACAAGTGTCTTTGAGGCATTTAATCAGTTATTTAAAATGATTCAAAGTTTCAATCCAAGTATACTATAAGAATGAAGTCCTGTGCTGCATAGTAACAATTTAACATGATTATGTTTGTAATTAATGCATTCAGTTATATCTGTATTTTCTTGCTTGGTTCAAGTTAAATGTTTTATTTTTTCTATTGCTACAGATTTTAGTGTGTTCAGTGAGTCTCAAAAATTCAAAGACTGATGTGCATTAGGGATTCTAGTGAAGTACCAGGGTCTTTTTATTTTTAATGCCAACTGGACATGAGAGGCTAAAAGAAAAATATCTTAAATACTGTTATGTTCTTTTAGGACATGGAGTTAGGCTAGACTTTAACACCTCTGTTAAAAATTACACAAGCATACCCCAAAAGAGAGCTGCCAAACACAATCTCAGTTCAATTAAAAAGAGTAGCCACAAGAATATACCAAAGTTTCCAAACAGTAATATTTTACTATGGCATGAATACTGAAAATTAAAAACAAAAAGGTATTATCATCACTACATCCTATTCCACCAATTATCTACTTTTTTTTGGATAATGCACTGCATATTATATTATATCCTCATATTACATCCCAGTACATTTTTATTTAAAAGAAAGTATTACAGAAAATCATTTCTATGATTCTATAAACAACTACCCAATCCTACAACCATAAGCAGTGCATAACCCAAAATACTAATTCTTTTAAGAAACATGGTATCCATGCAAGATCAGAGATTGATTATCAAAATAGCAACTACTCTAAAAAAGAAAATAAAAAGATAAAATTTACATTATCTGCTTTGAAATGCACACAGGCTCTTCACTGGTGACTGAAACTGCTAAAAAGCAAGCCAATTTAAAAGTCCCTAAATCTCTGATGTCCTATTTCTTTCAATATAAATAAGGAAAAGGAATGAAGCATTGCCTTCCTGCTCAAATTTTTATGTCTAAGATTCTTGAAAGAAGGACTGCAGCAAGTACTAAGTGCATTTTTTAGTAAGTGCCATGTTAATTTCAGTGTGGCACCACTGAAATAATTTGCTGAATATTCATCCCCAAAAAAACATGGAGAATATTTACTTTGTATGTACTATTTTTTCTGCAAGGGGCACTGAACTATTGAGAAACTGTCAGGTAAATAATAAGACGAGGAAGTTTTTCTGGTTTTAGCCCATGCACAAGATATTAGGAAATATACGTGCTGTGTGTACTGTGTGTTCGGGAAAAAAAAATTTATAGAATACAGTAACTAGAGAAAAAAGTACAATCAAAAGGTAACAGTGCATTGTCGGAAGACTCTCTAAATTTGGTTACCCTTGAATGCATTCTGAGCTGCACTGCTTGCTGCAGTTGAAGCTGCATTTGCGGCTGCAGTCTGGACAGTTTTGTTGGACATCACACCTGTTGCAAACTCTTGTTGGGCCTTCTCAAAACTAGCACCTGTTGTGCGATACAGTCCATGTACCTAGGGAGGCACAGAAAAGTGGGAGAAGATGAGTGGTAATCTTACATGTTCATTATCAACACCTCTTCAGTTAGTCTCAACACGACTCAGAGATACAAAGACTAGATGCGAGGCAGGCAGGATTCCTAAGATCAAGGACATCAGCCCCCACACTGGAACACAACACTGCATATAAATATTTTCTTAAAACAGATTTTTCCTTTTTATCCGCAATGCGGAAGAGATAATTATGCCTATGCCAAACCAAGAATAATTTAAAAAACAGCTTAACCAAAAGCAAAAAGCTATGCTTTCCACTGTACCAAGTTAAGCCTTAAAACGACTGGTTTAAACATAACAAATCCTAAGGGATTATACAGTAGAAATAGCAAATAGATTCAAGGGATTAGATCTGATAGAGTACCTAAAGAACTATAGATGGAGGTTCGTAACATTGTACAGCAGGCAATGATGAAAACCTCCCCAAGAAAAAGAAATTAAAAAGGCAAGTGGTTGTCTCAGAAGGCCTTACAAACAGGTATGAAAAGAAGAGAAGTGAAAGGCAAAAGACAAAAGGAAAGGTATACACTTCCGAATGCAAAGTTCCAAAGAACAGCAAGGAGAGAGAAGAAAGCCATCCTAAGTCAACAATGCAAAGAAATAGAGGAAAACAACAGAATGGGAAAGACTAGAGATCTCGTCAAGAAAATCAGAGATACCAAGGGAACTTTTCATGCAAAGATGGGCACAATAAAGGACAGAAATGATACTAACAAAAGCAGAAGATATTAAGAAGAGGTGGAAAGAATACACAGAACTATATGAAAAAGATCTTAATGACCCAGATAACCACGATGGTGTGATCACTGATCTAGAGCCAGACATCTTGGAATGTGAAGTCAAGTGGGCCTTAGGAAGCATTACTACGAACAAAGCTAGTATAGGTGACGGAATTCCAGTTGAGCTATTTCAAATCCTAAAAGATGATGCTGTGAAAGTGTTGCACGCAAGATGCCAGTAAATTTGGAAAACTCAGCAGGGGTCACAGGACTGGAAAAGGTCAGTTTTCATTTCAATACCAAAGAAGGGCAATGTCAAAGAATGTTTAAACTACTGCACCATTGCACTCATTTCACATGCTAGCAAGGTCATGCTCAAAATCCTTCAAGTTCAGTTCAGTTGCTCAGTCATGTCCGACTCTCTGCAACCCCATGGACTGCAGCATGCCAGGCCTCCCTGTCCATCACCAAACTCATGTCCACTGAGTCAGTGATACCATCCAACCATCTCATCCTCTGTCATCTCATTCTCCTCCCGCCTTCAATCTTTCCCACCATCAGGGTCTTTTCCAATGAGTCAGTTCTTCACATCAGGTGGCCAAAGTATTGGAGTTTCAGCTTCAGCATTAGTTCTTCCGATGAATATTCAGGACTGAGTTCCTTTAGGATGGACTGGTTGGATCTCCTTGCTGTCCAAGGGACTCTCAAGAGTCTTCTCCAACACCACAGTTCAAAAGCATCAATTCTTCAGCACTCAACTTTCTTTATAGTCCAACTCTCACTTCCATACATGACTACTGGAAAAATCATAGCTTTGACTAGTCAGACCTTTGTTGACAAAAAGCAGAGTGATCACACCATCTCTGCTTTTTAATAAGCTGTCAAGGTTGGTCATAACTTTTCTTGCAAGGAGCAAGGATCTTTTAATTTCATGGCTGCAGTCACCATCTGCAGTGAGTTTGGAGCCCCAAAAAATAAAGTCTCTCACTGTTTCCCCACCTATTTGCCATGAAGTGATAGGACCAGGTGCCATGATCTTAGTTTTCTGAATGTTGAGATTTAAGCCAGCTTTCTCGCTCTCCTCTTTCACTTTCATCAAGAGGCTCTTTAGTTCTTCTCTTTCTTCCATAAGGGTAGTGTCATCTGCATATCTAAGGTTATTGATATTTCTCCCAGCAATCTTGATTCCAGCTTGTGCTTCATCCAGTCTGGCATTTCTCATGATATACTCTGCATATAAGCTAAATAAGCAGGGTGACAATATACAGACTTGACGTACTCCTTTCCAGATTTGGAACCAGTCTGTTGTTCCATGTCCAGTTCTAGCTGTTGCTTCTTGACCAGCATACAGATTTCACAGGAGGCACGTCAGGTGGTCTGGTATTCCCATCTCCTGAAGAGTTTTCCACAGTTTGTTGTGATCCACATGGTCAAAGGCTTTGGCATAGTTAATAAAGCAGAAGTAGATATTTTTCTGGAATTCTAGCTTTTTCAGTGATCCAACAGATGCTGGCAATTTGATCTCTGGTTCCTCTGCCTTTTCTAAATCCAGCTTGAACATCTGGAAGTTCACGGTTCATGTACTGTTGAAGCCTGGCTTGGAGAATTTTAAGCATTACTTTGCTAGTGTGTGAGAAGAGTGCAATCGTGCACTCGTCATTTGAGCCTTCTTTGGCATTGCCTTTCTTAGGGACTGGAATGGAAAACTGACCTTTTCCAGTCCTGTGGCCACTGCTGAGTTTTCCAAATTTACTGGCATCTTGAGTGCAACAGCATCATCTTTTAGGATTTGAAATAGCTCAACTGGAATTCCGTCACCTACACTAGCTTTGTTCGAAGTAATGCTTCCTAAGGCCCACTTGACTTCACATGCCAAGATGTCTGGCTCTAGGTCAGTGATCACACCATCGTGGTTATCTGGGTCATTAAGATCTTTTTCATATAGTTCTTCTGTGTATTCTTTCCATCTCTTCTTAATATCTTCTGCTTTTGTTAGTATCATTTCTGTCCTTTAGTATCATTTCTGTCCTTTATTGTGCCCATCTTTGCATGAAAAGTTCCTTGGGTATCTCTGATTTTCTTGACGAGATCTCTAGTCTTTCCCATTCTGTTGTTTTCCTCTATTTCTTCACACTGATCACTGAGGAAGGCTTTCTTCTCTCTCCTTGCTATTCTTTGAAACTCTGCATTCAATGTGGTATATATTTCCTTTTCTCCTTTGCCTTTCATTTCTCTTCTTTTCACAGCTATTTGTAAGGCCTCCTCAGACAACATTTGCCTTTTTGCATTTCTTTTTCTTGGGAATGGTCTTGATCACTGCCTCCTGAACAATGTCACAAACTTCTGTCCATAGTTCTTCAGGCACTCTGTCTATCAGATCTAATCCCTTGAATCTATTTATCAATTCACTGTAAAGTTGTAAGGGATTTGATTTAGGTCATACCTGAATGGTCTAGTGGTTTTCCCTACTTTCTTCAATTTAAGTCTGAATCTGACAATAAGGAGTTCATGATCTGAGCCAAGTCAGCTCCCAGATTGTTTTTGCTCACTGTATAGAGCTTCTCCATCTTTGGCTGCAAAGAACATAATCAATCTGATTTTGGTATTGACCATCTGGTGATGTCCATGTGTAGAGTCTTCTCTTGTGTTGTTGGAACAGGGTGTTATGACCACTGTGTTCTCTTGGCAAAACTCTGCTAGCCTTTGCCCTGTTTCATTCTGTACTCTAAGGCCAAATTTGCCAATTATTCCAGGCATTTCTTGGCTTTCTATTTTTGCTTTCCAGTCCCCTATAATGAAAAGGACATCTTTTTTAGGTGTTAGCTGTAGGAGGTCTTGTAGGTCTTCATAGAACCGTTCAACTTCAGCTTCTTCAGCGTTACTGGTCGGGGCATAGACTTGGATTACTTTGAAGCTGAATGGTTTGCCTTGGAAACGAATCGAGATCATTCTGTCATTTTTGAGACTGCATCCAAGTACTGCACTTCAGATTCTTTTGTTGACCATGATGGTTACTCCATTTCTTCTAAGGGATTCTTGCCCACAGTAGTAGATATACTGGTCATCTGAGTTAAATTCACCCATTCCAGTCCATTTTAGTTTGCTGATTCCTAAAATGTCTACGTTCACTCTTGCCATCTCCTGTTTGACCACTTCCAATTTACCTTGATTCATGGACCTAACATTCCAGGTGCCTATGTGATATTGCTCTCTACAGCATTGGACTTTACTTCCATCACCACACATCCACAACCAGGTTGTGTTGTTTTTGCTTTGACTCTGTCTCTTCATTCTTTTTGGAGTTATTCCTCCACTGATCTCCAGTTGCATATTGGGCACCTACCAACCTGTGGAGTTCATCTTTCAGTATCCTATCTTTTTGCCTTTTTATACTGTTCATGGGGTTCTCAAGGCAAGAATACTGAAGTGGTTTGCCATTCCCTCCTCCAGTGGGCCATGTTTTGTCAGAACTCTCCACCATGACCCGTCCGTCTTGGGTGGCCCTAAATGGCATGGCTCATAGTTTCATTGAGTTAGACAAGGCTATGGTCCATGTGATCAGATTGGTTAGTTTTCCATGACTGTGTTCTTCAGTCTGTCTGCTGTGAAATTGCATTTAGAATCAAACCCCATACTCGCCAGAGGCTGAAGGCTCAGAAGGTTCAAACATACCTTCTGTGCACCAGGACCCAGAGACCCCACAGAGACTGAGACAGAACTGTGTCTGGGTGTCTCCTGAGGAGGTACAGGTTAGCAGTGGACTGCTGCGGGGGCAGGGGCTCTGGGTGCAGTAGACCTGGGTATGGCATAAGCCCTCTTAGGGAAGGTCGCCATTAACCCACCATAGAGCCACGGGAATTTACAGAGGACTAGGGAAACAGACTCTTGGAGGGCACAAACACAACCCTGTGTGCACCAGGACCCAGGAGAAAGGAACAGTGACCCCACAAGAGACTGACCCAGACTTGCCCGTGAGGGTCCAGGAGTCTCTGGCAAAGGCGTGGGTTGGTGGTGGCCTGCTGTAGAGTTGGGGGCACTGAGGGTAGCAGTGTGTGCCTGGGGCCTTTTGAAGGAGGTTATCTTCATTACCTCCACCATAGTTTGGCCTCAAGTCAAATAACAAGGAAGGAACACAGCCCCTCCCTTCAACAGAAAACTGATTCAAGATTTATTGAGCATGGCCCCACCCATCAGAACAAGACCCAGTTTCCCACTCAGTCATTCAGTCCCCTCAGGAAGCTT